TCCAAGAACACTCAACATCTCAGCCAAGCGGGAAATGCTTATTGGAAGAATATAATCCAGTCTGGGAAGCTATTTTCCAGACTGTGAGAATCTCTCTAGGACAAACCATCCAGTTATTTTAGGTGGGAGGGGGCAGGTGGTTAAAATTAAAATTATAAAAGGGGAAACCAAAGAGAGACAGGGGAAGAACTTAGGAATCCCAAACAATTGCAGTGGGGGGGCTTTATTTTGATCAGATTCAAACTGTAGGGAAATATTGTGACAATCGAAGACACTCAAAAGCATTAATGGAAAGGTCTGATATTTTTAGAAATGGTTCTCTTTAAAGCTAGGATAATGATATGACTGTATCAAAATGCTTACATTGCATACACACTTAAATATTTACAGAGGAGATGGGATGATGTCTGGACTTTGTTTCAAAACTAAGGAGAGGAGAGAAATCGGAGAGGGACTAGAGGAAACAAAATGAGCTACAAATTACTGATGGCTGAGGCTGGAGGATGGGTTTGAATTGGGGTACACGAGGATGCCTGCTTTTGCATGTGTGAAACTTTTCCTTTTAAAAGGGGTGTGTGTGTGTGTGTGTGTGTGTGTGTGTACACGCACGCATGTGTGTGTGACCTAGCAGGGCTATCTTCACTAACCCTGTCAAAGACCATCACCCAGCTCCACCCCATCTCTGCGCCTCCACACCTGTCTCTTCCCAAAGGCTCCACATTCCATGCTGCTCCATGGAAGTCCTGCCTCAGGCTCTCCTCTTCCCTGATCAGGCCTCAGCCATCGTCTCCTACCACTTGGCCTGTCAGGGCCGCCCCACCCTCTGCCGTCCAGGCATCCAGACAGGAAGTATAAACATCTCACAAATGTCTCGAGGGCCTGTGGGTGTGTCTGAGAGGCTTTCCAGGCTCCTGAGGCCATGTCCCAGACTGGAGAACCATGGACACTCAGCCAAGGTCAGCTCCCTGCTCCTCATCCTGGTCCTGCCCTCCCGACAAGTGCGAACTCGGTGCCACAGATCTGTGTGGCAGTTCTGCGGCCCAAGTCGCTTAGGACTGTTTTCTGAACCTCTCTTTCTCCTGTCTCTCACTTTCCCTTTTACCAGCATGCACCCTGGACCCACTGCATAAATTTGAGGATAATTAGCAAAGGTGAAAAGGATGGGGAGAGAACCAATTTTTCTCTTTAGGTCAGAAATCATCAGGGCCAAAGCGCTAGTACAACCAATAAGGCACCTGCCTTGCACACAGCTGACCCAGGTTCTATTCCTGGCACCACATGTAAGTCCTCAGGGTGCCTCCAGGGTCCCTGAGCCTGGACTAGCCCCTGGGAACCTCTGGGTGTGGTCCCCAAGCATCCCATCCCAAATAATTTTTTACACCATAGCATTATCATTTCAGTCCACAGTCTAAAAGAAAGGGGATGAATTCTTACAGCATTCTGACAAGACGTGCATGGCCCCATTCCAAGAGACCAGAGAAGTCAAACACATGGAGGGTGGAGACAATGGGGCTCCCTTAACATCACGGTGCTGGTGCTACATCTGTGGTCATTAGACCCCAGCCCAGGGTGAGCCCGTGTGGATGGCGCCCGTGTCAATGTGTCTGCATCACTTCAGCTATTGACCTAAAGCTGCATCTGTCCCTTGCTCTCTCTTCTGTCTGCAAACAGCCCATCTCTGAGATCTGCACAAAAGGAACAAAACAGTGGATGCAGGAAATCAGGCTGACTGGCCTGAAGGGCGGGGTGCCTGGCAGTGGGAGTCTTAGTCATTGCAAAATGGGACAGTGTGGTCCCCCTGCTGGGGTTGTGCAGGAAGAACTGAACGTAAGTCCACATACAATAACTTTGCCAAACACTTGGAGCCTGTTCAGTGTGACTTGTTTTCTGTGGATGAGCACTCGCAGTCCTTCAATCAGACTGTTATCGCAATGTAAGTCTTATCTCCCTAAGGTGAGGCGTTTCCAAGGGACTCCACCATAAACAGCCTTTCATTCTGCTTTCTTTCTTTCCATGTCATACTCCCTTCGTGTCCTGGGAATGTAGTAAGTTCCATGGAATGTAAACAAGAAACAGAAATATACTGAATGAATCATAGGTGAAGAAATGGCATGACTCACGCACATGAGAAAAGGCTTCCGGCATGCACAAGTGGATTAACATGAAAACAGTTAAAAAGAGACTTAACATAGGAAGAAGCTATTTTAATCAAGCAAAACCAAATTATTATTTCTAAAAATAAAAGTAGACTTTTCCAACCCTTGACATCTGCATTTAATAATATCTTCTACCCAAAATACAGATGCTAAAACAGCAAGTTACAATATATCTTGTACAGCATACAGTATGTTCACTGTTTACACTTACTTTATTTCTAGTTGGTCGTTAATATAGTCAATGCATACTTAAACATCACTCATAATAAAATCTGCACAGTAAACAAAAAGAAAGTGACAAGGCTGTCTTAAAACGGCTCTGCTATAAATTGTATAGAATATACAGAATTACAAAGTCAAGTATTTTTTATCAAAATATACACCCCCTCCCTGAAACTAACACAAGCTATCGACATTTTCAACGGATAATACAATTATAGAAAATATTTGCAAAATTATTTTTTCATGTATAAATATTCTGCCATATGTACTTTGGTCTAGAATTATCAGCATACAAGTCCACTTAAAAAATACCCACATGGAAGGGCTGGGAGACATCACTACATCTAATTTCATGGCTGGAGTGACCTCAATCAAAAAAGGTTGAAAGACAGAGTTAAATCTCCTTGCTTCACAACCCTAATTGAGAGAAAACAAATGAATAGATCACAAAAACCGCTCAGTCAAGATCCTAATTAGCCATCTTAAAAAAAAAAAAAAGAAGTGTCCAAAAGCCCTTGTGTGACTATCTTGTTAACATAAAATCCAAATGAACAGTGCAGGTATCTGTATTTACAATGTAGAAAATAGAGTGGAATTGACCTTGCATGTCCCCATTTCTCTCTGTTACATAATACTGAGCGTAAGTGAAAGGAGATGAACAGAAGATAAATGCAGATACAATATTGGGGTTACTTAACAGCAAAGTACGACAGTATAAAAGGGGGGGCTTGGATCATGTCCTTTGCTGAGTGCTGAAGCACCCCACAGCCCGCCAGCTCCACAGGAAGTCTTCTTGAGACATCCTCCCCCACGGCGAGGAAAACTGGGGTCTTCGGAGCTGCTCCACTGGGAGAACACAGATGCGGTGGGTTTTCCAGTTCTCAAATCCCATGAACACGAGGGAACAGCAGCCCTCCCCCGCACACACACACGTATGCCCTCTGCCACCCCAAAACCACACTGGTAAACCGTGGGTGATCGTGCTGTCTCTCCCTCCACGCTATGCCGGCCACTTCCCAAGTGGGAGTCACAAGTCCTGGCCCCCCAGGAACCTGGTTGGAAGCGGGAGCGGGGGGGCACAGATCCCCTCCAGGGCCCTCGAAGTCTGAGGGTTGGCCTGACGGGGTCACACCGCGTACGAGAACACCAAACAACAGACGCAGGCTTCAAACAAGGAGCCAGATGTCTGCAGACACGAAGAAAACATGAAGGTTTTGTGAATGGGTTCCGAGGCCTCGGCACTCCACACTGTCCCCCAACCCCCGACCCTCAGCACAAAGCCCTGGCTGGCTCCCCAGCGAACAAGCTATGCTTTGCAAAGGGCGCCCTCTTGCCCCCGTCACGAATGGGTGGGGCTGAGCTGAGGGACCCTCCGTTTTCCTTCTCTCTTTTACCACTTTGTCCCCGTAGGCGGCATCACCCCCAAGAAGGCTAATACTTATGGGGGGCTGGGTTGTGGGGGAAGGAGGGGAGGGTAGCTCTCAAGAACCCGGAGATTCAGCCCCAGGTGCGGGCCTGAGAGGTGCGAGCTGGGACCTGAGCCCCTCCCTGAGGAGGCGCCTTACAGACCACCAAGCCCCTGGCCTAGGGACGACTGGAAGACTGAGGAGGAGGAGGAGGAGAAGTGAAGGAAGGCTCCAGAAGAAATGGACCCTCCTTCATTCTCGGAGGCCACTGCAAAGGAATGGCCAGCACAAGTCATCACGGAGGCCTGGAGTGGGGTGGGAGGGGTTCTGGGGGCAGGTGCTCCCCCACAGGTAAGGCAGGACTTACAGTTGTGCAGCCGAAGCTGCTCTGGGTGCCATCAAGGTAACAGCACCCCAGCTCAAGGCTGAAGCATGCTCTTCCACCACCCGCACAAATGCTTTCTTAGGCCACCGTGGCTGGGAGACCTCCCACCCGTCATTCCAAGTCTGTACAGGGGGCACAGACAGTTTCGTTTAGAAAATGACTTAGAGAGATGTGGTGTGGTTTTGGTGTTTTTACAAGGTTTGTGCCGCAAGCAGGTCGGTCTAGCTAGTGTCGGAGGGGCCCAGTCAGGCCGCTCGTGTCCCGGGTATTAAGTGTTAAGCTCTAGTGTTCCGTGTGTCTTAGGTACCCATAAATTTAAAACCATTCCGGATAGTGCAGAGGCAGAAGGGGGTGACTGCGGTCAGGGCTCGTTAACTGTTCTGTCTCGGTTCCGGTGATGTCGCCCGCATTCGGGGTACCCGACCCTACTTCTCTCCAGTGACTAAAGACTGTGTAGCAGCCAGTTCCAATTAGCGCGTATTTTAAAAGCTTTAAAATGAGGCTAAAACGAAACGTTTTCCCCTCACCCTTCACCCCCACCCCCCACCCCCACCCCGGCGGAAATACCACAGCTAAGAACTTTATCAACTTTCACAAGATACTCAGGGTACTGGAAACTTGAGCTATTTTGCTTTGGGGTGCTTTGCATGGAGTTCATGCTAAACCCAAAGAAGGTAAAGATCCTTTTTTCCCCCCCTGAAATTTTCACAAATGAGATTCTCCCCCCACCCCGCCCCCCATTTGATGTTTCACTCCCTCTTGACTGTGACGTAAACCAAAGAAAAGGGAAAAAACTAAAAAACCCACACAGCTAACTTCAATGAGAGAGAGAGAGAGAGAGAGAGAGAGAGGGAGGGAGGGAGGGGGAGAGGCAGAGAGGGAGGGAGAAGAAAGGAATACCCAACCAAACTCACGAACAGCTACAGTAGGACCCCCTTCCTAAGCCGGGGGGCCCCTCACGGGCCATCCTCGCCCGCGGTCTGTAGGTGGGGCTTTTGGTCCTGATGGTCCGGGTCCATCATGAGCAGGGTCTCCGGCACGCCCGGCTCCCCCTCGAGTCTCTCCTGCTGGCCCAGGCTCTTGAACAAGTGTTTCTTCTGGTGCATGCCCAGGGCCGCGGCCGTCTTGCAGATCTTGGGGCACTGGAAGCAGGCGTAGCCCTTGCCGTCGTGCTCCTGGATGTGCCTCTGCTCGTGGTTGCGCTTGGTGGACAGGTACAGGAAGCTCTGCAGGCAGAACTGACAGTGGTAGCGCTTCTCGCCCGTGTGGATGCGCTGGTGGATCTTGAGGGTCTCGTTCAGCGTGAAGGCTTTGCTGCAGTACTGGCACACGAACTCCTTGACGCCCAGGTGGATGCGCTGGTGCTTCTGCAGGTTGCCCTGCATGGAGAAGCAGCGGCCGCACGTCTGGCAGGGGTAGGGCTTCTCGCCCGTGTGGCACCGCATGTGCATCTTCAGCGTCGACGGGCTCTGGAAGTGCTTGGCGCACAGCTCGCAGGCGTAGGGCCGCGCCGTGACGTGCCGGTGGGGCCGGCCCAGGCCGCCGGGGCTGCCCGCGCCGCCGCCGCAGCCGGCGGCCTTGTCGCCCTCGACGTCGCAGAGCTCGCACTGCAGCTTGGGCATCTCCTTGGGCTCCTCCTCCTCCAGGGCCCTGTCGGGGGGCGGCCTGGCCGCGGCGCAGTCCAGCTCGGCGGGCAGCAGCAGCTTGCCGGCCCTGGCCCCGCGCGCCTCGGCGGCCGCCTCCTTCCTCCAGCCGCCGCGCCGCACCCTGCGCAGCTGCCGCGACTTCCTCTTGGGCTTGTAGTTGTAGTAGGGGCGCCAGGGCTTGTCGCTGGAGTCCTGGTCGCTGGCCTCGTCGAACATCTCGCTCAGCTCCACGCACTCGGCCTGGTAGAGGCCCAGGGGGCTGCGGGCGCGCGGCGCGGGGTCGCGGGGCGCGGCGGGCGGCGGCGGCGTCGGGGGCGGCGGCGGCGGCTCGGCGGGCGGCGGCGGGGGCGGCGGGGGCGCCGCGTGCTTGGGCCGCCGGCCGCGCTTGTAGAAGAGCTTGGAGCCCAGGATGTGGCGCTTGACGATGGCCTCGTTGCCGATCTTCACGGTGATCTGGCACAGGGGCGCCACGCTGCTGTCGGCCGACGTGCCGGGCAGCGCGGGCTTGGCGATGTACGTCTCGATCTTGCCGCGCTCGGGCGCCGGGGCGCGCGCGGGCTCCGGGGCGCCCGTGGCCGCGCCCCGGGGCTCCTCGGCCGCGGCGCCCTTGCCGGGGGCCGCCGCCTTCTTCCTCTCCTTCGGCGCGCGGGGCCTGCTGGCCGCCCGCCCGGGCCTCTCGGGCTCGGCTCTGCTGTCCTCTCTGCGCGGCCCCGGGCCCGCCGTGGCCGGCTCTGCGCGGTGCCCACCGCCGCCGCCGCTAGTGCCGCCGCCGCCGCCGCCGCCGCTGCCCCCGGGTCTGGCGGCCAGGGCGTTGCTGTGCATGATGACCGACGAGAACTGGCTGCTGTGCACGATGACCGAGGGCGCCGGGCCGCCGTAGCTGATCACCGACGCCGAGTTCTCGCCGCCGCCCACCGCCAGGGCGGCGGCCGGGGCGTCCGAGCTGACCGCGGGGTCGGCGGGGGCCACGGCCAGCTCGCTGGCGTAGAAGTGGCCGTCGAGATCCACCTTGAGCGCGTCCTTCCCCCACTTGGTGGCATCGCCGGGTTGGACACCGGCGGGCGTGGCCAGGTCCTGGTGCGCCGACCTCTCCAGAGGCAGGGCGGCGGGGCCCTGGGCCAGCGTGGCCACGTGGCCTTGGAAATTCAGGCTGGGCAGCTCGGAGGCGTGCGGGGTCTGGATGACGTAGGGGCCCGCCTCACCGCGGCCGTGCTCGCGGCCGTTCTCGTAGGCCGAGTGCCGGTAGCTCTTGTACGGGGCGCGCTTGCACTTCATGGGCAGCAGCCTGTAGAGTTTATAGGGATACACGCTGGGCTTCAGGCCGCCGTTGGCCGTCTTCTTGCTGATGGACAGCCGGTAGTCGATGGCGTGGAAAGACTTCTGGTGGTTCTTGAGGATGTAGTAGGTCATGAACGTCTCCAGGCAGAAGATGCACTGGTACCGCCTTTCCCCCGTGTGCCAGATCTCGTGGCGCGTCCGGTACTCGGCCAGGGCGAACACCTTGTTGCAGTAGTGACAGGGGTAGGTCCTCCTCCAGGAGTGGACGTTGGCGTGCCTCCGCAGGCTGGACAGCGTCACGTAGCTGCGTTTGCACACCACGCAGCTGTAGAGGACTTGGCCGTTGACGAACTTCACCATGTGGTCCTCGTCCGGCAGGGCGCTGCTGCCCGGGGCCCCGGCGCCAGGGAACTCCCCCACCCGGTTCTCGGCGAGCAGGGCCCCGGGGCCGGCGAAGGCACCCCCGTTCTGCCCAATGGTGGGGTAGTTCTCCAGGAAGCTCCCGCTGGCGCCGGGCATGGGCAGGTGACTGGAGCGCATGCAGATCTGCTCGTGGCGGTCCAGCCGGTTCACGGTGCTGAACTGCTTGTTACAGTACTTGCACACCAAGGGCTCCTGCGTGGGCTTGTGCAGCTGCATGTGGCCGCTGAGCAGCGCACTGCTCTCGAAGGACTTGGAGCACGAGCTGCAGTTGTACACCAGCGGTGGCACTTCTTCAGCCGTGGCCGGCGGGGGCGGCCCAGGCGCATCCGAGGCCTTATTTTCCTCCTCCTCGGGGGCACAGCAGGCTTCCCCTTGTGGCTGTGGAGACGGGGGACAGGGCAAGCTTGAAGTGGCTGGCGGCGGCCTAGGGGAGCTGGGGTCTGGTCGTGCCGCTCCATCAGTGGCTGGAAGGGATGGGGGGTTTTCGGCGGGGGGTTCGGGGTTGGGCGCCACGACCAGCGTCTTTGGCTTTCGGCACGGTTTTGCTTTGGTGGCCCGCGGGGCCTCGCCATTCTTTTCCTGCCCCGTCTTGCCCGGTGGAGGTGGCGCGGGCAGCGGCAGCGGTGGGGGCGGGGGGCTGGGGGGCTTGGGGGGCTCCTGGGTGGGCAGGCCTCGGTAGGCCTCGGTGGCTGAGGACACAGCATAGGAGTGCTCGGCCAGGGTCCGCACAGGCTCAGCCTCGTGGCAGGCATCCGCTCGCTCTGGGTATAGGCTGCTGCCGCCCCCGCCCCCGCCACCAACGCTACGCACTGGGTCCGATGCCTTCTTGAAACTCGCCCGCAGGTCCAGCGGCGAGAACATGCTGTTACTGTTGTCGGTCTCGACGATGGAAAAGGCGTTGGTGATCCTCGGGCCGCTGGTGACGGCCGGTTCCTCGGGGCGCCGGTCATTCTTCTCCTCTTTCACCACGCCCTTCTCAGTGATGCAGAACACGTAGGGGCCCGGCGAGCTGGTGAAGTGGCGGTCGGTGAGGTCTTCCAGGAAGGCGATGCCCAGCCTCTTCCCCGCGGCCGCCAGGTCTGTGACAGTCTCCTGCCGCCTCACCACCACCGTGGAGCTGTAGATGTAGTTGAGGATCTCCGTGAACACCTCGGCTTTGAGGTCGTCCAGCTCTAGCACGTGGCTGGAGATGCAGATGGCCCGGCTCCAGAAGATGTTCTTGAAGTAGAGGCTGGAGGCCGCCAGCACGTTGCTGTGCGCCTTGAACTTGGTGTCCTCCACGATGATGGTGACGTCGCACAGGATGCCGCGGATGCGCTGCTCATTCAGGATGGACAGCACCGTGTCGCTGTGCAGGGCGTCCTTGAGGTCCCTGGAAAGGGACATGACTGTCATCTGAAAGCAAAGGGGAGAAATCGTCAGACCACCGCACGCACGCAGCTTCTTTGCTCCTGGGCAGCTCTCTTGTCCTTTCAAAAAACGCTTTTGCGTTTGGTAGGAAAATAATCATTATTTTTTTTTTTTTGGTGTGTGTGTGGGGGGGTGGGATTCCTCTTTGTTTGTTTGTTTTCCTAGCTCATTCTGCGGCCAACCCCAGGACAGAGCATCAAGCGCTGGAAAGCTAAGTGTTACCTAGCCTCGACACTCTCCTCAGCCTTGTGCTAAGGAGCCAACGGAACGAGAAATCCTCCCAAAACTCATCCTCCAAGACTGTAGCTCTATGAACAAGTCCATGTTCGGGGAGCAGGAGAGGGGGCCACCCCCAACACATGGCCATAGCTCAGAGGGCTGGAAAGGGGCTCTGGCCCCGCTATGCTGCCAGAAGGGGCTGCCCAAAATGCTGCCTGAAAGTGGGGTTCAATCCTCACCCATCATCAGCCAGCCTGACCAAGTCTGGCCACCAGGGGCGCCCTGCACCCAGCACTGACCCTGCACTGGGGGTGGGGGCGTTGATTGGGTGGCCCCACCCAGTTCCCTGACTGCTGTGATTTCCCCTTCCCGACAGCTCAAGTCCATGAGGGTTTCCAAGAGAGCACTGTGAGGCTGTGGAAGCCTAAGTCCGAGCAGGGAAGTTCTGCGTCGCGGAGGCCACATCTAGCCCAGAAGCAGCACGGGCGAAGGCACAGCGGCTCACATGCCTGTGCGTCTTCCAGGGTCCACCTCCCGCTGTCCTCTATAAATGGTCAAGGATAGCTGGAAGGGAACCAAGTCCCCCGGGAGGGGAGGGCAGCCGGAAGCGGCCGCCATTGTGCTCAGCCACGGCCAGAGACGCCTCCTCCAGGGACATCTGAGCAGGTGGCCTTCCGTGGCCACCTCCCGACCTTATTTCCCTCCTGTGCTCCCCGCCCCAGGGTCCTGCCAGTGGACCCCTCATCTTGTATCTGTCCCCTCCCCATTTCTGGCAGATCATACCATGTGCTAAGTGTTTTGTTACATTATGTTTCATTTGAAAAACAACCACTTGTTCCTACAGTGAGACACAAGTCCCCCCACCCTGCACCTCTCCATCCAAGGACAATCAGCTACTGTTAGTTGGTCTCTCCCCAATCACAGGGCACCCAGAAAGCCAGGCTGATTGGCCTTTCTTATCTTGGGTGCTGGGCCATGCTCAGCTGTGCTCGGGGCTGAGTCCTGGCTCCGTGCTCAGGGGTCACTCCTGGAGGGTTTTGGGAAATCTGTGTAGTGTGGAATATCAAACCCAGGTCTTCCAAGTGCAAGGCAAGCACCTTCCCCACCCTGCCACCTCCCTGGCTCCTCCGACTGGTGTTCCCGGGACTGCTGGTGGCAATACCGTCCTTGGTCCAGGGTGTCGGAATGCGCCTAGCCGGCCAGTGCAGGATCCCTGAGTTGCACTTCCTGTAGGGCCCTAATTCAGCTGAGAAGGCCAGATGGCCGCAGGAAGCGCCTCCCAGACCTCACAGAGCTCTTACAAGGCTTCGCCCATGCTGCTACTTCTGGTCCTTCACGTGAGAATTCACCGGCTAAAACTCTCTTTATCTCCTTGGACCCCGGGAGAAGGGTGTGTTTCTACCAGCAAATCCTTGAATTCAGACCAGGAGAATGATCCGCTCCCCAGGCTTCTCTCTTCATCCTCAAGATTAAGGCAGCTCAGGGCTTTCATCATCGCCTGTGCTGTTGGAGCAGCCTTGCTCCCTGACTTTCTTTAAAAAAGTTTTAAAAATCACATTTTCAATTTGCTTTTGCTTGTTGGGCTACACCCAGGGGGTGGCTCAGGGCTTACTCCTGGCCCTGTGCTCGGGGACCATTCCTGGTGGGGGTCAGGGGACCATATAGGATGTGCTATGGATCCTGCCCCCACAAAAGGGGCCACTCCTGGCCTAGCTTGGTCCATCGAGGGCCAGGGGTGGTCGGGTCTAGTAGCTTTCAGGGGACCGCTAGGGCACACCCAAGCAAGGGGGTAGGGGAGGTATCGTGTTGTTCCAGGGATCAAACTTAGGGTGCACACGGGACCCCCGTGCTCTGTTCCTTGAGCCACCCCACGCCCCAGTTCTCCTCATGACCCTGCCCGTGGAGTCCTAGTCCTCCATGGCTTTTTTCTAGAAGTGTGGCATACATAAAAGGGGAGGAAGGGGCTGGAGCAATAGCAAAGCGAGTAGGGCATTTGCCTTGCACGCGGCCGACCCGGGTTCGATTCCCAGCATCCCATACGGTCCCCCAAGCACCGCCAGGAGTCATTCCTGAGTGCATGAGCCAGGAGGAACCTCTGTGAATCGTTGGGTGTGACCCAAAAAAGCAAACATTTAAAAAGGGGGGATGGAATACAACGCACTGTGTGTGGCTTCCTGTGTGCCCAGAGACCAACAGCCGTCTGAGGGTCTATCTGAGTCATCTGAGGGCCCGACCCTGGGCTACCCCTGGGTGGAACCATAGTCACTCCTGGGCTGGGCCGGGTTGTTCCACTCGTCCTCCCTTAAGTTCAGCCCTTTACTTCAGACCTTTATCAGGCCCAGTGGAGAATCCCGGATGTGGCAAAGCGCAGGCCAGGCCCGGCAGCTCAAGCAGCTGCTTCTGTCTTGGCTGGGGTCATCTGGTGTGTCCTTCCACTTCCAGACGGTTCCTCCTTCCAAAGGGCTCTGCCACGGGGCTCTGCCGCCCTTTGGGGAATGCAGGGGGCCAGGGCAATGACACAGGTTATGAGCCTTGCTCACTTCTGACAGGATTCCGGGGGTCCTGCCTTAGGTGTGTCCATCAGGACGGTGAGCTGAAGGTCAGCTATGAACACTTGGTACCTCGGTCGTCCCCACAGGGCAACAACGTCTGTAACAGGAGTCATAACACGTGACGTGGAGACAGACTCGGGCCAGGAGGGAGCTCGGCGCGGAGCCTGCGTGTCCTGGGGATGAAGCCTGAGATATGATCCCCAGAACATCCAGACGCACACAGCCTCGTCACGTTAGAACATCCAAGTACATCCATCTTTCTGGCAACTACCACTCTGTGATAGGAATTCTCTTAAAAATCACAGTTCCTGGGGTGGGAGAGGAGGTATAGCAGGTAGGGAGCTTGCCGTGCATGTGGTTGACCTGGGTTCGATCCTTAACACTCCATTTGCCCCCCTGTGCATGGCCAGGAGTGATTCCTGAGCACAGAGCCAGGAATGACCCCTCAGTACTATTGGGTGTGGGCCCTGCCTCCAAAAACGAAAGTCCCTAAGCAATCATCTTGATACGATTTCTTGGTATATGCTAAGGCGCCATTGTTTCCATTGTATCCAGTGACTAGGTCTGTGCCCGGCACTGTCAATCACAGGGCTCAGAGCTGGGGACACTAAGGAGGAGAAGGTGAGTTTCTGGCACAGGGGCCCAGAGTCTGGGGCAAAGAGAACATGGCCAGCTGGTACAAGGCCATGCACAGGATGGGTACTGGAAGCAGTGTCTGGCAGGAAGATCAAAGCCATCACTGATAATGCGGCAGGAGAGGGTATCCGGGCGGGTGCCCCAGCACCCCCACTGACGAGCCAGGCTGGGGCAGGAAGGCCCTGACCACATCCTAAAGGGCTCGGCCGGCCCCTCGGCCGTGCAGCTCCGGCTGCAGGTAGGTGGGAACCACTGAAAATGCTGATTTGAGTGTTGGGAAATGACTCAGACTCTGCAGTGCTACGAGAGGAGGGAGTCACGCGGGTGGCCGACGCCCAGGGCAGAGGCGACCCCAGAGGACCGGCTGGAAAAGGTGACAGGGCAGGTGGTGATGCCGGCTCCCAGTCACTACAGTGGGCGGGAAGTGGGGGGCTACCGGAATCCCAGTTTATTAGGATTCTCTTAACAAAGAATGAGAGCGATGGGTGAGTAGGGAGGGGATCAGGCTGACTGCACCAGGAAGACAGTTTCTCCCTCAGGGCCGGAGCGATACTACAGCAGGGAGGGCGCTTGCCTTGCACATGGGTGACCCAGGTTCGATCTCTGGTGTCCCATATGGTTCCCTGAACACCACCAGAGTGATCCCTGAGCACAAGGCCAGGAGTAAGCCCTGAGCACGCCCCAAAACATAAACAAGGAGATTCCGTCTTGGTGGGGACGGGGGGGCTGCTCCCCATACCAGGTCTGTGTCCGGATCACCAGACGAGAGACCCCTGTTCCCTGCTCCTGCAGGCAGTCGGCTTTAGAGGCGGCGGGCTGAGATGCTGGAGCCCATCTGCATCTCCAAGCTGCTACTGGCCCAGCGGGAAGGTACCCACGCACACGCACAGTGCCAGCTCAGAAGGCCCCATGCTGCCAAGTTTCCTTCCTTGTCGCAGGGGCAGCCCCCCGTCAGAGCCAGGCCCGGGGCGGGGAGAAAGGCCCAGAAAGCCCCAGGGACATGCACACTCTGCCTCCAAGGCTCATTGTGGGCAACAAGGGAAGCACGTCCGGGAACCGCAGCACACCGAGCCCCCATGGGTGTCAGGAATGAGGCGCGGGGGGTGGGGCGGGGAGGAGAGGAGCGGGCAGAAGAGGTGACACTTCCTGACCGAGGCAGGGCTCAGTCCTGCAGGCCCCCACAAAGGGAGGAAAGGAGGCTTCATCCCAGAGAAGCCTGGCATCCCAAGTCACAAGGCTGCACAAAGGTCACCAGGTAAAGGGCCAAAGTCCCCTCTGAAGCCAGGACTCTGGAAGGCAGGCGCAGTGGAGGGTGGTTGTGGCAGACTCCGTGGGGGGCCTCTGCAGTCCCCTGAGTTCCCCTCGAGGTGTCAAAAATAACCAGCAGACCACAGACACCTGGTGAGCTCACAAGACGCTCAGGAAAAAGCCACATTTCACGATGAAGAAAAGGCCATGGTGGACCGCGGCTGCCACCAGCCACATGGGCCCACAGACGGGCCTGAACTGCTGCGTTTGGGGCACCGGGCTCTGGAAAAACTGCTCAAAAGCAGCAGATTTTTACCTTTCTTACAAAAC